AAGATCCTTACCCCAGTCATGTAAAGCCAATGATCACAACAGGTTGAAGTGGGAAAGCAAAAGGCTTATTGAGTATCGATACAATGCACGAGATCCTGGATACAGTGGGAGAATAATATGGAAAAAAACTCAAAATCATAAAAATAAATAAATAAAAGACCAGGTTTACTGGTGTGACAGAGCCTGGTGAGACTCCCAAGACTATGGCCCCTAGTTACCTTTGAGGTCTGGAACTGAATGCACTCCTGTGGCTTCCAGCCAAACAAAAGACAGGCATATAGGGTGAACATTTACATCAGGTAGATACACTTCCTAGAGAGGTCAGTCATGGGAGAACACAAGGGCAGTGTTTGCACAGGGAGATGGCTGGGCAGAGCAGAAATGCATAGGAAAGGGCGCAGGGAAGGGGTAACAAAAGGGAAGAAGTAGGAAGAGAACTGTTACATTGTGAGGAATTGTGGTCAATGCTATGAAACAAAATGTGTATGAACTGCTGTATGGAAAATGAATTTGCTCTGTATACTTTCACCCAAAATAAAAATTATAAGTAAGTAAGTGAATAATGAAAATTATAAGTAAATAAGTAAAATGTCTGTCTCCTCCAGCAAAGGGACAAGTATGATTATATTAGGGAAATGGGAGGAGGTCAAAGCTTCCCTGGACTGCCAGGAATGTCTTTGTTCTTTTCCATGGTTACTCCCGATTCTGTGTCCCTCTTCCCAGGGTCGTCTCACTTCAGGGACTATGGAACTCAGTTAAAACCAATCGTGGGAGAGGGTTGTGCATAAGAGAATGTGTGATGGAAAATAACAACCCTGAGAATGTGTAATTGAAAATAACAAACCTAAAGAACTCAAACTAACAAAAACCAAACTCCCTGCCCCCAAGTTGATTCCAAAATAGCAACCTCCTTTGGGTTTCCAAGGTGGTAAATCTTTACAGAAGCAGATTGCCCAGAGTTCCTTTTGTGGAGTGGGCTGGTGGGTTTGAATCACCAAGCCTCTGGTTAGCAGTCAAATGCATTAGGCACTATACAACCCATGAAAACAAAAGGGAGGGAAAAATAGCAAGGTAGTCACTATGATTAAGGTCTATTTTGATCATGTCTGTTAGTCTATTAAAGTTCTGCAGTTTTCAGCAAGGAGCCCTTTTGGCCTTCAACTTCAGCCTTCCACAAGACCAGACAAACTAGTTGGTGCCTGGCCACCATTACTGAATGTTTTAATCAAAGAGTCTGTAGAAAAAGGGGCAAAAGTCAGAACAGAACTTCAAATTCCCATGGAATTCAAACTTTCTGGAGCCATGGAGGCTGGATGAATCCATGAAACTGTTGCCCTAAAATAATCTTTAAACCTTAAACCAAAAATATCCCCTGGAGTCTTCTTAAAACCAAATAGGTTAGCGTAACTAGTAAAGAATTTCTGCCTGAGTGTTGCGCTCTTTAAGATCCATCTATAACTTGATGGCACATAACAACAACAACACTCAAAAAATCAGCCAGGAACCTTAACGGCAGTGAGTTTATGCTAAAGGAGAGGAACAACTCAGAAAAGGAGGGTGAGAATGGTTGCATAAATTAAAGAATGTAATCAATGTCACTGAACTATACATGTAGAAACTTGAATGGTGTATGTTTTTTCTGTGCATATTCTCAACAGTCAGAAGAAAGGTTGGGCAAAAGGGGCACCTTGATTGCTAGAGAATTCCAGGGACTATTTTCAGAAAACAGAGACAAAAATCCAAACCAAGTTCTCTGTCCCACAATAGTTTTATAGCTCAGTTTGGGATTCTGCCTAAGGTCACATAGCTAGGCTGCAAACTAAGTTAGGTGATTCTGAGCTCAAACCTGGCCTGACTCAGAGCCATGCCTCCATTCATCTCTCACATTCATCTACATACATCCTCTTTCTTGTCTGGGCCTGTTCCCTGGCTCCCTGGACAAGCTTAGACTGATGTTTTCCACCTTGTCATGGCTCCTGATGACAAGCCACAGTTTGATCCTGGGGATATTTTTATTGATAATTTAACAAAGCAAGTGGCTGCCCCTCAGAATCTTCTCTTAAGCATTCTTCTTGCCCTCCTTTGTTCAACAAGCATGATGTTGAGCTTATTGTGCTGGGTACCAGAGCAGCAGGACAGACATAAGCTAAATTTTATAGAACAATCTAAGGTGATAAGTGCTGTATCAAACATATGGACTATTAGCATTGTAGGAAGCCAGAGCCAGGAGGAAGCCAGAGCCAGGAGTTCCAAGCCCTGGGAAACTTTGTATGAATCTTTCTCACCGATTAGGGCAAAATCTGCCATCCAGGGAAGAAACAAAGGCAGCAGCGTGAGCTCCTGAGGGACCAAGTATTATTAATCTTTTTGTTTTTTGCCTTGCACATAACTGTGCTCCATAAATATTTAAAAATTGGGAAGAGTCAAACATGTACAACAAAAGGAACAAGCAGTATTTGAGCAAAGAGTTGAAAGTTACCATGGAAGGCAGCAGTGCTTTCATTTTTGCTTGCTTTACTACCTAGCAACTGATGACACTAAAAATTTTCCCTGTTTTTATTGGAAGAGGGTCCTGGGCGTTGCTCAGTTTTGAAATCACGTAGATGGGTGGAGAGTGGATTTTCAAACCAGTCTACAGGAATTGCCAGAGTTTTGGTTAAAAGAACTCAGAAAAAGAAGGATTTTAGAGGGACTGATGGTGCTCCTGTTACCGTTCATCATTATATTAACTGTGAAGCACAGCAATGCTCGTGAGTATCCCAAGTTCTTTTTGTTCCTAACTCCAAAGCGGAGGCAGCCTAAGAGGAACAGCATTTTATCCTAAAACTTGTGGTGAAATAATGAAGATGCCAGGGGCAGAAAAGTATATTTATTTAGCTCAAGACTTAGAGGAGCGAAAGACTAGCAGAAGAGTTTTCTAGTTCATGTCTATAGGAAATTTGATGTCATTCACCTTCTGAACGGTGGAAGCCATTCTAGAAAGACTCCCCTGAGTATTTTTCTCACCTGCCGTCTGAGCACTGCTCCTCATCTTTTCTTTCACTTTTTCTCCCTTTATCTAGCTGAATGAGTCTTACAGGGTTGTGGTCAAGGTTTCTGGGGCATTGAATAGGGGAAGAGATCCATTGTTCAGGTTTATTTATATTTTTCCTCCTCACCATTTGTGCTGATTGTAACGAGATCTAAGAAAGATAAAACCATGGCTCTGGACTTGTTTACTGGGTGTAAGAAATATTAATCAAATAGAAAGAGGAACTTTTAATTGTGTAAGGGACGCCTTGGGGAGACAAATGCCTTCTGTTGCTCCAAGTACATGGGGAAGTCCATAGGCTATGTCTTAGGCTGGATTCTCTAGAGAAGCAAAACCAGTGAAGCTTATATATATATACACATAGAGAGAGTGAGAGAGAAATTTATCACAAGGAAATGGCTTATGCACTTGTAGAGGCTGGTAAGTCCTAAGTCTATCAGGCTGGAGGCTTCTGCTGATTCATATAGCTGCAGGGGCTGACAAACCCAAGATCAGCAGGTCACATGGCAGGCTGGTGGCTCAGGGGCTGTGTTGGTGTTGTTGTTTGCTGTCAAGTCGGCTCCGACTCATAGCGACCCCTCCTTGGGTTTCCGTGGCAGTATCACTATGGAAGTAGGATTGCCCAACCTTCCTTCCGAGGAGTGGCTGTGGAGGCTGACAAACCCAACATCAGCAGGTAAAATGGTAGGCTGCTGGCTCACAGGCTGAGTAGGCTAACAAACCCTAAGATCAGCAGACAAAATGGCAGGCCATTGGCTCAAGTCCCAAGAACTGGAGGTCAGATGTAGGATCCAGAGTGAGCAAAAAAGCCAGAGGTTTGCAAGAACATCCATATACTGGATGAAGGCCACACTGCTGAAGAAACTCCCCTTACACCTCATTGGCTGATCATTATGTGATCACACCATATCATAAAATGGAGGATAATTACTTCATTCCAAATTGCATCATTACATAACTGTCAAACCACTGAAAATCATGGCCCAACCAAGTTGACACATAACCTTAACCTTCACAGGATATAAGCCAACCAGGCTTCTCAGCCCTAAGTAACTGTTCTCCCAGCTGGGAGCTGGCACTCTCGGGGGATTAGCAGACACTGTTCAGAACTCAGATTGGGCCATCACCATTGGTAATGACTCATGAACATGACAGGAAAAGCCCCTCCAAATCATTCATGTATTAATTCCACAGATATTGATGGCCAGGCACTTTTGGGGATAATGACAGTGAACAAGACAGACATAGTCCCTGCTTCTATGGATATGTAATCCAGAAAGTCCCACCATTCAAGTCAGAAATGGGAAAGATTGGAGATGAAAGTAACCGACAAATCATGGAAAGAAGAAAGGAGGAGAGAGGTAAAGGATGGCATTCTCCTTTCTAGAAGTTAAAAGCTTATGTATTGCCTGCATATAATTCTTGAAGAACTCTTCAGTAACATGGCACATATTGATAGTTTCTAAACATATTCTCTTATGTAATGGTCTCACGAACCATTTGTAGAAGGCTAGGAAAATATCCTCATTTAAAGATGAGGAAACCTAGGCCTAGAGAATTGACAAAGCTCACATAATAGAGTGTGAAGTATCAGAGAGGTGCACAACAGACAACAATGATAAACCCTTTTACATATATAATACTGGATTATCAGTGATAACAAACATTAATCTATGGGTAAATACATGGGTCGACAGGCTGAATGATCAAGTATGTCTATGCAAAAGGGAATATATCCATGACCATAAATAAGGTTGGCAGATGATATTGCTACATACATATTTGTATGTGCTGTAAGAATGTCCATATAAGTAGAACTAAGGGGGCAATATTATGGTAACTTCTTAGGCACAGTCAATCACCCTGGTGAAGTGAGTTGTTGGACCTGTGGGCTCAAGACCGTGGTTGCAGGGGACATCAAGCTCCAGTGGCATAACATACTACACAAAGATACTGTTCTACAGCCTACTTCAGTGAGTAGCAACTGGGGTCTTAAAAGCTTGCAAACCACCATCTAGATGCAACGATGGGTCTCTCCTAGTCAAAAGCAAAGAAGAATGAAGAAAACCAAAGACACATGGAAAAGATTAGTCCAAGGGGACTAGTGGACCATGTGAACCTCAGCCTATATGACCATGAGGCTTGAAAAACTAGTTGGTGCCCAGCTACCACAGTCTACCATCCAGAAATGGATCAATGCAGGAGATCCTAGATAGAGTGGGAGAACAATATGCAACAAAATGCAAAATAATTTAAAAAAAGACTAGGTTTACTGGTCTGATAGAGCCTAATGAGACGTCCAAGACTATGGCCCCTATTTACCCTTCAGGTTTGGAATTTAACTCACTTCCTTGGCTTCCAGCCAAACAATAGACAGGCATATGGGGTGAATATTTACATCAGGTAGATACACTCCTTAGAGAGATCAATCATGGGAGAGCAGAAGGGCAGTATGTGCATAGGGAGTAGCTGGGGGGCAGGAATTCGTAGGAAAGAAGGACACAGGGAAGAGGTAACTATAGGGAGGAAGTGGGAAGAGAGCTGTTACATTGTGGGGATTGTAGTCAATGTAATGAAACAAAATATGTATGAACTGCTGTATGGAAAATGAATTTACTCTGTAAACATTCACCCAAATCACAATAAAAATAAAATAAAGAGAGTGTGAAGTAGAACCCAGGTGTTCTGGCCCTCAGTCCATGGCTTTTCCACAGTATCATAGTACCTTTAAATGTGGACACTTGATACTTTGATAACTGATGGAATGAAAAATAAAATTAGTCGATTATAAAGAGTAGGTTAAGAATGGAATACTATGCAACACTAAAGAATAATGTAGAATCTGCAAAACACCGCATAACGTGGATGAACTTGGAGGATATTATGCTGAGCGAAATAAGTCAGTCACAAAAGGACAAATATTGTATTAGTCTGTTATTGTGAAAGTTAAGGAAAGGTTTATATATTGGAGGACATTTTCTTTGTTGGTTACCAGGGGTGGGAGGGAAGGGGAGGGAATGCTGTTAGATAGATAGAGATAAATATTGATTTGGGTGAAGAGAAGGGCAATGTACCAAATGTGAGTGACCAATATGGCAGCATTGAGGATGAGAAAGACAGAGAGAGTTACATGGGCAGTACAAACAACAAATATGAACCCCTTTGTAAATACAATACTGAGTTGTCAATGAAAGCAAACATGGGTATAGGGACGGATAGATGGGTGAACAAGCTAAACAATTATGTATGTCTAAATGGAGAGTGTATCCAAGATCATATACAGGGTTGGCAGACAATGGGCCTCTCGAAGAGTATGAAGGGATGGACACTGGGAGGAGGTAACTATGGGGAGGAAGTGGGAGGGGAGCTGCTGCATTGTAAATTTTGGTCAATGACATGAGACAAAGTATATGTGAACTGCTGTATGAAAAGTGAATTTACTCTGTAAATCTTCACCCAAATCCTAAAAAAAAAAAAAAAAAAGTAGGTTAAGGTCATTTTGTGCTGGTTATTCTTCTTTTGACTCCTTAGACTCATTTTCTGTCCCATTGTATCCTGCTCTGTGTCCTGGGAGGCTGACTGCTACAGAATGCATCACCTAGGCTCTTTCACTGGCTATTTTGTTTGGGCTCAGCATATGAGAGACACTGAAAGAGAAGAGGAGAGTGGAGAGCAAGGAGGAAAGAGAAGTTGGGGTATTTCTTTCTTGCTCCTTCCCCTCTTTCTGTATTTGTCTCTGACAATGACTATGTCCCTTTACAATACAGCTTTACCTGAATAGCTCCTTCTTCATGTTCTAACTCCCATTTGTTACTCTTATATAACTCTTCAAACCTAGAGGTGGTAACAGCTTGTCATAGTTGCTACTATCTTGGTGCCTCATTGTCTCTTGTTTATTCCCTTAACCTTGTCCATGTCTCTGCAAAGAGTCCCTTCATTGAAGTCTCTTTAGGTAACTCATCTTGGGTGAAGGCTATTTCCTACCCAGGACGCTGACTGAGATTTCCCAAGCTTTGAGGGATATTGATGGGGAAGGAGTATGGAGTTATGAAAACAGACTTAGTCTACTTCATGTGTGTGCCTAGTGCTTGCCCTGAATAGGAGTTTCCATGATATTTCTAGGCAGGAAATGCGGGGAGAAGATACCAGAATGTTTGGGATCACGACTCCAGGAAATGTCAAGATAATTCCAGTATCACTGCTATTGTGTCCTTTTCATCAACTCCATAGCCCATGGTTCACTGCTCTTTCCTTCATGCTCCCATAGCCCCTTCACAATTCTGTAATTTCCTATTTATAAACTTTTCTCTTTGAGACTTGGATCTCCATGAAGGCAGGGAGAGAACTCCTCATTTTTCTCTTTTTTATTTTCCCAGCACTACCTAACGTACAATTGTTGTTGCGTCCTGTGTGTTGTTGTGTACAATAGGCACTTACAAATGCTTGCTGAGTCAATTTATGTTCTAAAGTAATAATATCCCTAAGAAATTGAAGGTTCTCTGTGGTTTACTGTAGTTAGAGAATTTGTATGGGGTGGGGAAAGATATTTCATGCTTTTACAACTCATCTTGTTCTTTATGTTAACCTGTGAGAAACTGAACTGGTGATGTAGGTGGGTATAATAAGGCAGGAGGCATGCACAGCATCTCTCTTGCATAGCCGTGTGTGGTTTGTGTATTTAATCTTGAAATAAAGTCAGTCTCTTGCTATTATTCAGAA